AGTCAGATGGCATAGCGAAAAACGTATTGGACCCCAAATAGGGGTGCGCCCATATATATTTATATTTATATTTATATTTATATTTATATTTATATTTATATTTATATTTATATTTATATTTATATTTATATTATATTTTAAGGTATACCCCTTAATTACGGAATATAGGTTAAATTTCAGGGGCCTTCATATTATAATTTAAGGTATTTTCCTTAGTTAAAGGGGTATTGGGTTCTCTGGGAACTTGAAAAGTACGGTAGAGCCCGAAGAGACCCGAGTGGGCACCCGAAGTGCACTCTGCCACAACCAAAACATGAAAAGACTTCTGATAGTGCTAACTCCTGATATCGTATTACGACCAACGCAGCTCCATCAATACTCTCCTACCACCCTGCAACGCTGGGAAACAAACCTTTTCTCTCGTGCGGCTCCTGATATACACTCGCACACGACATTTACCAAGATTAGACTTCTACAACCCAGAAAGAGCACATACAACCACACACAGCCTCCGGCAGATTACGTCTCAGGCACACCTAGAAATGGCTTGGGTTGATTGGGTTGACTTGGGGGTTGGGGTTGAGGGCTTCATGCATCAGAGCCTCAGGGACGACTACAGGACGGTTTAGGGTTTAGGGTTTAGGGGGTTTAAGTTGAAGGATTTCAAGCACGGCACATGTACGTCTGAGGACCCTTAAGAATTACTGATACTGTTGCTTAGGGTTCCATACGGTAAGTATTTTCGTGCAGTACAACCCCAGGCCCTGTTCTCATGATCGAGAGCAGTGCTGAACCCTGAACCCTAAACCCCAAGCCCTAAACCCTAGACCTAAACCCTAGACCCTAAACCCTAGACCTAGGTCCTAAACCCTAGGCCCTAGCCCTTAAACCCTAGACCCTAGACCCTAAGCCCTAAACCCTAGACCTCGATCCCTCAACCCTAAGCCCGAAACTCGAATCTCTAAACCCCAACCTGAACCCTCCACCGGATCGGGAGCCAAATCTCCGGGGCACCCCAACTTCCCGGGGAACCCTTGCCAACGCCTGTTCTGTTTCGCATATTATATGTCTCGGATTAGGTTATAGGTTCATTGCTACAGGTTCTAAATTTCATACATATAAATATACATAAATTTACATAAACAAATAAATATATATATATGTGATTTATATTTATATTTATATCTATATTTTTATTTTTACATATATATATAAACACACACACATAGTACATGTATATATGTCCATGTAAAACTATACACAAAATATACTCACCTGGTTATATATGCTGTCCTCGTCGCTGTACATCTTCTCATCCTCCGGCCAGGGCATGGTGGGTGACGTCGAGCCACCAAACCGGCGGATGGAGTCCACCTGAGGGGCTCACATGCAGCGGCATAGCAGCATAGCGGAAACCAGGCTGTACTTTCGGGAGGGGGAGGGGTCTTATGATTATAGCCTACTGTTGTGGGTTTCAGCCAGATCAGAGATCAGATTGAAAGCCCGCTTCGGCTGGCGGATCTCCAGGACCCTCACGGAAGCACGTGAGGCCCGAAACCTGTAGCAACACACAGGCCATGTGCCCGCCTCCAAATGCCCAAAGATGTGCTGCCTACATTGCCTACCTTTTTAGGGTTCCTTACTTTGGCTCCGATATATAACTCCTTGAAAGGTAGGTTCTTTTCTTTGGGGTTAAAGGTAAGCACTAAACCTGAACCCTGAACCCCCGGACGCTAAACTCTAAACCTTAAACGAAAAAAAAGAGCACGACTCCGGAAGACTAAGGTCGAGACCGTAGTTGGGTTCGCCTTGTTGAGCTTTAGGGTTTAGGGTTTCGGGGTTTAGGGGTTTGGGGGTTTGGGGGCTTAGGGGTTTAGGTTTAGGGATTTAGGGTTTTAGGGTTTAGGGATTTAGGGTTTTAGGGTTCAGGGGTTTAGGGCTTCGGGTTCAAGGTTTGGGGCCCAGGTTGAGGCTTGGGGTTTTTTGGGGTCGGAGAGATTGAGGATTTGGGTTGAGAGGCGTCGCTTTCTGTTTGCCTGTCATTGTTCAGGGTTTGGATTTAACAAAGTTCTTTTTGTTGGGGTTTAGAGGGCTTCAAACTTGTTTTGTCTAGGCTTAGGGCGTCATCTCCACAAATCCGTTTTTGCCGAAAGCATGGCGGAACGGAGCAGCAAGTCATTCGTCAGCTGCAGGAGGGGAAGATTGTTAGCCCTACAATCTAAACCCTAAACTCAGTCAAAGCACACCATGGCAGTGATTGTGAACGAAAAAGCAAGTCCCATGAACCGAACAGAACGGCCTTGAGCATTAAAGTATGGTTTCGGGGTATACTCTGCTTACACTACACCTCAGTGCCTCGGGTAGGTCGTTCTCATGAAGCATGAACTCCCTAAACCCTACCTAACCTTGCCGAAGTGGCCCAAGACGGCTCCATGACCTGGATGCCACCTGGTGGCCAAGAGCGTGCAAATGCACCGATCGAAGGATATTACTCTGAAAGGGAAATGTATGCATTACATACCGTATCTTATATATCTTATAGAACTTATAGTCCATATTTTGTCTCATGTGTGTTGTCTCATTGTTATGTACCAGATATTCGGGCTTCAGTGCCGGCGAGACAACGGCAATGAGACTACCCTTGCTACTGCCCGGCAGTAACTTGCAGCGAGCTGTAACCACAAGACATAAGCCTTCGTGGCACGCTTTTGTGGCCTGCAAGCCCGACGTCGCCCTCGTTAAACTCCAGGCGCTCATCCAAGTTCAGGCTCTCCAAGAATCGAGACCATCCTGAGATTTCGAGCTTTGCCCCAGGATAATTGCTGGGGTCTCAGACCGGGAAGCTGAAGATGCGCTTTGGGTTTTGGACTGCAGAGCCCACCCCTCAGGGCCTGGCTTCTCTGCGACACTTGATCAACAGTGGACCTCGGGAGGCTGATCCGGGGAGGAGGGGAGGGTTCTGGTCCAGATACGGAGTTTCCTTCAGCCTGCGGAAGACGATGAGGAGGAGGACAATGCTGATGAGGATGGTGATCACGATGATGATGATGATGATGAGGATGATGATGACCACGACGACGATGGGAGGAAGAGCAGGAGGATGAGGAGGAGGAGGTGGAGGAGCGGGAGGATTAGGACGACCACGATGTTGCGGATTCGGAGGCAGATGCTCTGCCGGGTTGTCTTCCATCCTCGAACCAAAGCATCAGCTCCCAGATCCCCTCACCCGAGGCTGCGGCACTATCACCGAAGCTCGGTTCAGGCCTTTGCTTCAGACACGTGGGAGCTGATGCCCCGGGCCCCTGGAGTCTCGGAATCCTTCGGGGGCTGGAGGCCAATTTGTTGCCTAGGCCCTCTAGGTTCTTTTGAGCAGGATTCAGTTGGAGGGCTTCGTGGCTTCAGGATACGGTTCGGGCGAGTGCGAAAGCTCTGAACCTCGAACCTGATATCATGCCCATGTCTAGCACCCTCGTGCTGCTACTACTAGTCTTACTTCCTCCACCACCCAGCGCTGGCTGGAGAGAAATGCCGGGGAACTAGTTATGCTAGCGGCGTTGCCGCATCAAACATATGTATTAGCGCTACTGCGCTACTGCTACTAAGCCAACGACAACGCCAAGTTACCATGCCTGCCATGCTTCTGACTATTGCTACTAGTAACACTGATGTGTTCATTTCTCTTGTCACGCCTGTGGTTGCCATTGTCATGTCTTATTGGTGTCACCACGTCATCACTATTGTTGCTGTCGCTCAGGCGATTATGACCTATGCTGCTGCTGGACCTCTTGCGAGATAGAGAGTGAGTTCCGGGCGTGCATAGCCCTGCATATCCGGGAAGATGAGCTGGTAGGCCTGGTTCAGCTGGGCGACGAGGAGGTTCCTTGGCCGAATCAGCGTAGGAAACCTGATTCTGAGACGGCTTCGAAGTTGACCCCATGGTAGCTTTCTCACATTTTTTACAATTACCATTATTGTCAACGTCTCATCATTACAGTACGACTACTGCTGCCAGTGTTGCTACAGGGTCGGCTTGGGTCGCCGAATCCAGCTCTCAAGCACAAGGGAAACTGAAAAATTGACCCCTCGCACTCAGCTCAGGACCTAGGAGCCCGAACAAACCCTTGACTCTGACCTTGGTGCACGCCACGTCACAGCAAGAAGATCGCTATCAGGATGGTGAACACGGATACCGTGATCAGCACCCCTACAGCGTCCTCCCATGCCAGCAGCACACGAACACGAGAACGGAAATTGTAAAGATAATGGTTGATGGCAACGAAAGTTATAGCTGCTCATCCTGGCAACTATAGTAACACGTGCAGCAGCAACCGTCTCAGTGCAAAAGCTGCAAATGCAGCCGTAGGAATTAGATTGGTAGCAGCAACAGCACCAGCAGCGCAAGTAGTCTTCAAGTTGTAGTCGTCGTCGTCGTCGAAGTGGTAGCAGTAGTTATCGTTTCCCCCTCATATTAAAGGGAGGGGAGACCGCCCCTCCGCCCCCCCCCATAACAACTCGGAAAGTATGTTGATTATTAGGGGTTAGTTTTATCTCCACTGCCACTTTTGGGGGTCGTGCTCTTGCTCCTGGCTCTTGCTCCTGCTCTGGCTCTTACTCCCGCGCTGCCTTTTGCTCCTGATTCTGCTGCGTCTCTTGCGCCTGCTCTTGCTATTGCTACTGCTCCCGCTTTTGCTCCTGCTCTTGCTCTTACTCCCGCTCTTGCTTTTGCTTTGCTCCTGCTGATGCTCCCGGTTTTGCTCGTGCTCCTGCTCTTGCTTTTGCTCTTGCTCTGAAGCCTCGAAACTCCCTCCCCCTAGTTCAGACTGGGTTTTATAGGGCAGGGATGATTTCGGGAGGATTCGCCCCAATGTGTTTTCATCATTAAAGGGGTGTTTAATCAAAGGGGGAGCGATTCATAGTGACTTAGTAGTGGTGTTGGTGATCGCGCCTTGTGGTGGTGGCAGCAGCACTAGACTGGCGACTACGATCCGACACTTCAACCAGTATTGGGCACGACAATGCCTGTGAACCAAACTGTGCCATGACGACAGGGAAACAGCGGCTTGATCTTTCTTCCTATCGCACATACAAAGCAGGCCAGAGAGCGCTTGCACCTTGAATATTGGCAAGCCTCCTCATTACATTCATTCGTCGTCCCCACACCTGCGAAACACTAGTTCCCGAACCCCCAACCCTAAACCGTACAACCCTGCAGTTGGAGCTGCATCTTCTCTTGTTCCCAAAGCTTTGCCTACGAGCTCACCAAAAAGATACCTGGAAGTCCACAGCAATCGCTGAAAGAATCGAGGAAATGGGATCTTGCGTCTGGGCTACAGGTAAGATCATCGGTCCTTAGAAGGCCGAACCTATCTTTCCAAAGTAGCCTTCCCTCCAGAAAGCCTTTAAAACAGCATGCAGCCTGCAACCTCAGGATCATGCGGTGTCTAAGTTCTCGAGGGGCGACTTGCTATTAGTGGGTCGTATCACGCAGATGCCTGCCACCCCCTTCCCACACTCATCTCAAGCCCTAAAATTAAAGCCTCTAAACCCTGAACCCCCAGGCGTAAGTCCTAAGCTACTCAAACTCAGGCCGTAAATCCGAAATCTTAAATCCCTACGCCTCTTTTAAACCTGGAACCCTTGAGCCACAGCCGGAAGACTGTGCCACCACAGCACGATGACTATGGTTGCCACGGCCGGGAGATCGTGGCAGCCAGAACCCGAAGATTGCGGAGGCTACAGCCCGAATACTGCGCTAGCAAGCCTACGCCCCTTAGATCCATGTAAACTCCAAGCCCGAAATTCTAAAGTCTCAACCCTGCCCCTGATGCCATGTCGACCTGCAAAAACTTTCAGACCTCACCGCTTCCGCTTCTCCTGGCCTTGAGCTCCCCGAGGTTTTCGCTGGGATAGAGCCCCAGCGTCATGGCGAAGAGAGAGAAGGCTGCATTGCCGATGCCTCCCGCAGTGTAGTAGATAGTGTATTCGAATATACTAGACTACATCAGAGTCTTGCAGAGTCCCCGTCCAGCGCCAAAAATCTGGCACTCGACGGGCTGCCTTCGGGAGGCATTTTGCAAAGAAGCGAGCCCCGTTTCAATTGCCTCCGCCTCCGAAGACATGTCTAAGAGATAGTATGTTCAGTTGTATACTATCTAGTATATTAGAGTATATTACAGTATAATACCGTATATGATAGTATACCTCAAGCTTCGGTTGATTCCATAACTCAGTCTGACACATGCCAGAACGTAATGCCTGGGGCTTATTAATAATTCGAAGAGGGCTTTTGTGGTATATTCTAGAATATGTAACAAGGCACCCTGAGGAATAACAATAACTGTTCTCGCTTTGTATGAAATACCGAAAAGCGTAGCAGGATCCGGAAGAGGAGGCAGCCCATGGCTTTGAGAGATCTTCGTGGAAAGGGAGGGTATGGTGGTTTCTCGTACTATGACCGTGCCACTGCGCACCCCTGAGGCATGCCGAAGTCCCCACAGACACCTCAATAGTAAGAGTAGGGCGTTGTGCTATGATTTTTGCCTCATCTCACCTCACTGTATGGGACTTTGAACCCAAGTCCTAAACCCTTGCCCAAACCTCACCTGTTTACCCGCTGTTTGACTCATGTTCTCTTGCCTTCTTCACAATGACAGTAACCCTGACAGCAACCCCTACACTACTATACCGCCTCAAGCCTCCTAAAAAAACGCTTAAAAACCTCCCATGCTAGCCCGGATCTATCCCCTAAACCCTAAACCCTAAACCCTAAACCCCTAAACCCTAAACCCTAAACCCCTAAACCCTAAACCCTAAACCCTAAACCCCTAAACCCTAAACCCCTAACCCCCTTTTTCTCGCGCTGTCGTTCTCGGAGACAGAAGGGGCGCGCCTTCAAAGCTCGGGCTCTGCCTGTCGAGGGCGCCTGGGCCCAGGTGGCTTCCGGAGGTGCTCATAATAATAGTTAGGGTTTAGGCTTTAGGGTTTAGGCTTTAGGGTTTAAGTAATCATAATCATAATAACAATGATAATAATAATAATCATAATCATAATCATAATCATAATTTTTCATAATGATAATAATGATAATAACAATAATAACAATAGTGATTATAACAATCGTAATGAAAATAATGATGATAATAATGTTAATAATAATATGTGCCAGGGCTTCGGCGACTTGTAGGCTTTTTAGGCCCTTTAGGGCCCTTTAGGGCTTTAACGGTTCATGGTTTCAGGCTTTTGGGGTTTATTTAGGCATTTAGGGCCTTTTGGGTTTAAGGGTTTTGGGGCTTAGGGCTGTGAGGCTTTAGTGTTTAAGCTTCCAGGTTCAGGGTTGTAGGTCTGTGAAGGTCCGCCCTGCTACATGAAGCACAAGACAATCACGAGTGCAGCCTCCGGAGCATGCATTGTATCCTGGTCTACTACTACGTTCTACAACAGTTCCAGAACACTACAGTATACTATTACAATGCTGTATTGTATTATGTGATACTATACTACACTACGCTACACTACACTACACTACGCTACGCTACGAACCCAAAACCGTAAACGCTCGCAAAATACACTGACACCGCTCCGAATGTAATATAATGTAGTTACAGCAAACTATACCACAAAGCCCTTATCGAGTCATTGACGCTCCCACATTGAACATGATTGACGCTGCCAATGAGCGGAATTGGTATCTTGCTTGCTGCTCGACGGTGAGTCGAAAGGGTTTTCGGACACACGGTTTGATTGAAGTTGCCAGTTTCGCCGGTAGGAGCCGGCCGAAGATGCAACAACCCGGCACTTGACAAGTTGCTCAAGATACACTCCGGAACTCTTAGCCACTCCCAGAACCACAGTATCTGCAGTCAAGTCAAAAGAGTTGGATATTCCAGCATAAGTAATTCTAACCCCACGTTGCTCAAACTGCCGGAACTGAAACAAACTATGACTATAACTAGAAAATGCTAAGTACTGAATAATATGCTAAAATATGCTATCCTATATTATCATACAGAATCATACACTATGTCACTAACATATTATAACAGATTACAACATGCGACAATATACTACAAGATACTAGAGTATCCTATGATACTACAATGATAACCTACAATATACTTTCACTCACACAGAGAGATATAGGTAGTTCGCTAAATTAGGGTCCCTTTTAGGGTCCTTTTATAAGGGTGCCGTTCTATATTTGGGACCTAGAAAGCCTAGAAAAGGACCCCTAATTTAGAGAACTACCCATATGGGGGTTTCCGAAAATAGGGGACCCTAATATAGTACCCTACATGGTAGGATCCTTATTTCAAGAACCCCCAACATAAGGTACCCATCTGGAGAGAGCGGTCGGGAGGCTAATGCCCAAAGCAAAAGCCAGGATGAGGAAAATGGCGGCCATCCTCAGCCGGCGAGAACCCGCTGGATCACTTTTAGGGTTTAGGGTTTAGGTTTTCAGGGGGTTTCAGGGGCTTGAAGGATTGTAGGGGTGGAGTGGGCTTTTTTTGCGGATTTTATAGGGCTTAGGGGTCTTCAAGCGGGTTTGGTGGGTTCCGTGGCGTCGGGTGTAAGGACTCGGGCTTGGCGCATGTTGGTTTGGGCCTTCTTGGGGGCTTCGAGGCCCTGGCGGCCCGAAGCTGCTGATTGTGGGCTTGCTTTCGGGTTTAAGACTTAGGGCTTAGGGTTTCGGGTTCGGGGTTTAGGGTTTAGGGTTCAGGGTTTCGGGTTTAGGATTTGGGGCTTCGGGAGTGTAGGGTTCAGGGTTTAGGACTAACTGGGTCTTGAGCTTAGCACTCCGAGCTGGGAAGGGTTTTCACAGGGCATGCGCGAGATCGGCTTGTAGCTCTTTGGGCTTCTTAGAGGCCATTTCCCCGAATGTTTTCGCACTCTAGTGCATAATAGAAGAGACTACAATGTGCTAGAACGTACTATAATTTGCCCCCAAACTGGGCAGTCCTACCAGGACCTACACCCTCAATCCTACAAGGCATGGCGTACCCGAAAAAAGAGTTGACGAACTGAAATCCTGCGAAGATCAGAAATCCTCAAACCCTCTGGCGATCCTGAAATCGCAGCCCCAAGCCAGATAAACACTGCACCTAGACTTGTGGGCCCAGGCACAAGAAAAGTCCCACCTCGGCGACGACTCGTCCACAAACCAGGACGAAAGCAGAAATCCGCATGGAGACGATACTGAGATCCAGGATCAGTACACAGTACAGGAGCATGGCTGCACCTGGGCTTGACGAGTCTGGGATTCTTTCTGGCACAGCAGAGGTTAGCGATTGGCCTTGAGAACTTCGGGACGAAGCGAGGTTGTTTGTAGTGGTGCTGTGTCGAACTTCACCACAGTCTTTCTCACAAATTTCTCCAGCTCATCGGGTCCATGATGTCGCCAAGCGGCAAGAGAATGCTGCGTAAACCTCCTGGAAAGCGGGGCGCTGCGACTCGCACTTGCGGGCATGATTCTCAAGCAAAAACCTCGAATACCGCTGCATGCGCCCCTGTCACTCTGAGCAACTACCAATTCCGCTTGCGAGCGTTGTAGGCTTCCCATGGCCGAGGATCTTTGTGTTGCTGGCCCGCAGCACAGGCAGTGTTGAAGAGCCCCGACCTCAGCCGGCACAGCGGAACTGCAGGAGATTTAGGGGTTGGGACTTAGGGCCTTTAGGGCCTTAAGGGTTTAGGAATCAGAGCTTAAACTGCCACAGACCGCAGCGGCATATCCGTCGGGTCGGATGCCCCCCAGATCTGGGGTCGAAACCCGGGGTAGTCTCCGTAGGTGTCAGGGATACACCACCAGATGGGCTCCTGGATGCACATGAATATCCTTGGATCAGGCTCGCATTCTCCGAGATGCTCCGTCGAAACCCATCTTCTAGAAATAGATCCCCCTCAGCCCCACCGGCATGGAACACAGAACGCGGAATTTAGCGCTTGGACGTTCAACGATACTCGCTTACCTGCCGAGGGACAACATCCAGAGCAGAAGCATGTTGCCGACTTCTTGGCCACCTTGAGCCAGTTTGGCTTACGGCTGTATCTAGTTTGTCCTTCCAAGAACCACAAGAAGAAGAGCGACACTGACTCTGACACCGACATCAACACCAACAACAATACTAGCATCAGCATCAGCAGCAGAGCAGCGACGGCAAGAACTGCAGCTGTAGCTCCAACTTGAGCTTGACACTCATGCTTAGCTTACTCTCGCTACTATTATTATGATGTACATTACTGTATGCTCAGCTTGATGCACGGTTTGCGTACTGTTGATTGAAGGTGCCACCTAGTGCCTGGGCGAGCCATGTGTCATCCCGGCACGACAGCCCACAAGGCGCCGTACAAGTCCGAGTCGATAGTAGGGCACTAGCAGTAGCAACACAAGATATATGATGCAGGGCTGCCAC